CGGTCCTACAATATGCTTTTAGATACAACTTGATATCATAACGCGGCTTATTGTACGCCATATGTCAGGCATCTGACAATGCCATCCCGCGCGAGATAATCTCCGAGTAAAATCAATCTACTTTTAAGTGTTCGTTAAACAGTAATGCATATGGAATGACACACAAATTTTTTTCTCTCGGGATACATCGGGATACAGTGGAACGATAGAATATGAAATTAATAATATCAATACGTAAATTGGAAATCATTTCGCGATATATCGCATGGCTTTCGATTGAATAATCACATGGAACGCATTGTGATTATGTCTGCATCACATGTCACGATTCTTGCTCGTTTTTATCGTATATGACAATTACAGGGTTTAAAATATCGGAAATGTTATATATCGTATTCTATTATCGATTCTATTCCATCTCTCTCTCTTTTTTTTTATGAATATGAATAATACATTTGACAGTTTTTGCAAGGCTATTAAGACACTGTTGCCGTTTACGTGAAGTTAATAGAAGGACTTACCGGACCATGGTGTTTGTAACCGGACTGAGCGGCTAATAACGACGCTACTTCTAATCCACCTGGTATTCTGACAACCCACTCCTCGAGATGATCTATGCTGGAGTCAGCCTCGGCGATGAAATTGGATGCAGATATAACGATGACAAGCATAATAACGCGCGTACACACTCTGGAGAATAAGCGAAGTTTCGAATATTAGCGTGATTCTTTCGTTCGCGTCACCGAGCGGCAGAAAGAAGATTGCGGTAAAATCTCTTAAGCGGATTTCTCGCAGTCGTTCAACGACGGATATATTAAGAATACTCGATTGCCGTAAACGCGAGAATATTAAGGACGCTATTCTGACGAATTTTTTGCTCAATCATTTTTTCATTACTGCCTTAATAATGTGCCTTTACAATCTTTAATATCTCCTTCCGAAAGAAACGCGGTCAAACGTGTTTTCTCGACTGATCGCGAGTTAATAAATAATAATAAATCACTGAAATACGATTAACGTAAAATTGAGAGAAAGCGGTATTGTATGAAATTTCCCGCTTTTACGATTTGTAAGAAAAATGATGCTGCATCTCGCGACAGCGAATTTAACATCCGCACTGGTTGATCCCTTTTACATTCTTATCACTCGCGGCGCACACGAGGCATTCGCACGGCGTATAAAAACTACTTATCATCCGCAGTCGTGGCATCCATCGGTACAATTTTCAACAAAGAAGATACGCTGTGTTTCCGCTGTCGTTGTGCCGTAACACGTACCTGACCGTCATGGCAATTTTCTGTGATGCGAGAGGATGGGAAACCAAATAAATAGCGACGATCGTGCAATTAATACTTCCGTCGCACTACGCTCACCCCGAGGAATCGTCGTCCTTTTTCTTATCACTTTCTTCGCGATACTATTCTCCGAGTTCTGACAGCCCCGTCCGATTTCTCTGCCGCGCGCGTACCGTCTACGCGACTGGAAGGACAATGGCGACGGAATTCGCCGGCCACGGCTATTGGATCACGAGTGACAAGTGATCGGACAGTGTGCGTGGCAATTAACCGCGATTGTCTTTTTGTCCGTCTGGGGGAAGTTTCTCGTCTCCCCTCACACTCCACGCCATGGTGGACGAAGCTGAGGGATCGGAAGGGTAGCGGATTAAACTAAGTAAACATGACGTAGCGAACGCGCGTGGGATGGAACAAGCCGGATGATAACGATTTGTAGGCGATTCCCGATGGTGAGCGAAACTCATATTGCATATTGTCGATCAATCGAAATATTATTTTATGTCCAGAATAAACGTCTCTGTTTTCCATAGAAAAATGTGAAAATTATTGAAAATATTATACATTTAGTTTCCTAAAATCAATAATTGTCATTTGTACTTTTAGATTTACAAATTTAAATATTTATATAATTTAATGTATGTAAATACCTTCCTCAACAAATTTAAAGAGTTATTTTAAATTGATTATAAAAATAACAAAATTCAAATTTATGTACCTTTTGAAAAATAATTATAGATTGATGTTTTAAAACTTAAAGACTTTGTTTTTAAACCTTTTCAAATCCTTTTTAGTGATACTTTTGTTCCAACAACTTCGAAATCAATCGTGCAAAGTTGACAAAAGAGTTTCAATTTTGAGGTCATGCATAGAATTAAAATAAATCTTTTTAATTTAGATTGACGCATATTCTGCAAACCTAAATTTTTTTTAATGTTAGTTCTTTTTAAAATAGAATTGAATTATTGGATCATCACAATTTAAAATAATTAATATTTTTTTAAAATTCTTTTCATCAAGAGAAATAGCGTCGTCAACAATACTAACTATTAAAATGTGTTCACATATATTCATGTATCAATGTCCTTTCTTTCCATATTTTTATTAAATTCTTGTAACGAAAACGTAGTTCTATGAGTTAGGAATTTATTTCATCAATATGAATATTTTTTAATATATCTCGTAAAGAAATATTTGTAATTTTTGTGAGAAAAATGATATAAAAAAAAATTTTCTTTTAGTTTAGATAGCTTTGATACCTATCAGAAAAAATTTATAAATAGAATTAATAAATAAAATTAAATACTTCGTGCTTCAGCATAGATAAGCAATTTTCTTTCAATTGATTGGCATATTTAGAGGAAAAAGAATATCATGGTTGGAGAAATCATTTAATGAATAA